GGAGACCATGTAGAACGCACCTAGTCCGAAGTCGTCTGCCATAGTAGTTGTCATGATTCCCAGCATCGGATAGTGGACTTGGTACATTCTCAAACATTTTGCCGGCATCGTAGTCGGCATCATCAGTGACTTCGGACCATGTGCGTTCTACATGGTCCCCCTGGAAACAAGACCAAGTTGCGACAACGAGGTCAACCCACTTCTATCAATCGACAGGAGACTGCGACCACACCAGAGGCCACAACATCTTGGTCTTCATATGTTTCGGACAGGTTCATCATTTACTCGCCTGCCGTGTCTCGACTGACTGGCTGACTGGTTGGCTGACTAATTGGCTGTCATGTTGGTTGTCTGGTCGGCTGGGTGGCTGGCTGTTCATCGAGTTGGTTAGTTGTGTCTGGTTGCTGTCTGGTTGCTTGTCTGGTCGGCTAGCTGACAATATGGTTGGCTGGTCGGCTGTTAGGCTGGCTAACCATTTGGTTGGCCGGTTGGCTGGTTGGCTGGTCGGCTGTTCGGCTAGCTAGTCATTTGGTTGGCTGGTTGGCTGTCTGGCTCACTGTCTGGCGGAGTGTCTAAATGACTCAGTGTATCAGTGAGTAATGTTCGTTCTCGGTTTGGTTGTCTTTTTGACGAGCTGGCCGACCAGTCAATTTGTTGGCGGATTGGTTGTTGGTATGCTATCCTTCCCTGATGACGCTTGTCATTTGAGGGGCGACAGGGTAGCAGGGCCTCACCCCAACCGATATCGTCTTGCTCTGAGACTGTTTCGCCCAAATTGTTCGAGTAAAACCAAGTCACTCTTTGTCCTGCTAGCCCTCTTTCTGTATGGCTGTCTGGTTGTCTATCTGTCTGGTTTGAGGGCTAGTTTGTGAAATGTGTTACAGTCCTTGCAGACTGAACAGCTCGACAACTCGATCTCTTCAGCCCACCTGCCCCGTGGGCTGTCAGCCTCTCCGGCCGACTAGGAGTCGTGGCAACGAGGCTTCCTCTTTTGGTAATTTCGACATGGCAACAACGATCTGTGCCATCAGCAAACTCCTCGACTTGGGGCACATTAGCCTTGGCTGTGAGAGATGACTGCAAAAGCTTTACACTTTTGACAGAAAGTTCTCCTTTCCCAAAATGTAGACACATGTTTGGTGTAGGTATGCATTTCATTTCCTTTGAAGAGGTGAGTGGGAGAGGTTAGTAAGTCGGCCTCACCGGCAGCCGAAAGAGGACAGAACGCTTGTCTTGGAAATGTTACTGTAGATTTGTGCAAATAGGTCCTCGGCCAATTTGTATAATACATTCAACTCGCTACTTCAAACGAAATGAAGTGTGTGTCAACACCAATCTTTTCAAGGATTCTTCGAAACCCAACTTTTTTTCTTACCTACCTTTTGTAAATCAACATGGACGACAGTTTTACCTAACATCATTCGCTATCGAAATAGTTGGAAGACGACGACAGAGAACAAAAAGTCCGTCTCTTCCTACACGTAGCAAGACCGAGCGGGGCTCCAGAGAGCACGCACCCTTCTCGCCACACACAAAACAAGTACCAGCTTAAAGGAAAGCTCCCCTATGGACCTTCCAGTTTGACAAATAATCTAAAAATAGCCTTGCTGCTGCTTTGTTTAATGATGATGAAGATGGTAATGGTGATAGTGAGGCCTATCATTATCATCATTATTATTAGTAGTAGTAATAGTAATAGCGATAGTAGCAGCCTGGTGATATTGAAAGCGGTGATGGTGGTGATTAGTTTTATCTTTGTTACAGTGATGATGATTCATATCAGTAGTAGTAATAGTAACAGTAGTAGAAGCATGATGAGATAAGGCGGATGATAGCGGTGCTGATGCTAATGATGATGGTGAAGACGATGTTCGTGGTGGCGATGGCTTGTCGAAAATATAGTGATGACAGTGATGTTAATGGCGCGAGTGATGGTGACTATTAGCATTATTATTAGTAGTAGTAGTAATAATAGTTGCAGTGTGAGATATTTGGGATGATGACCGTGATAGTGATTATTACTGTTACAGTGGTGGTGATGATACTAGCGATAGTGATAGTGACTATTATTATTATTGTGATTATTGTTAGTATCAATAGTAGTAGTGGTAGCATACTGAGGATGAGGATGAGGAGGAGGATTGTGGTGATAGTGATGGTGAAGATGATGATTGCAGTAGCGATGGTGATGGTGGTGGAGTTTAGCGCAAGGCACAAGGCCTGTCTGAAAGCTTGCAAAGTTTCGATCTGAATCCGCGTTTGTGTGAACATGTGCTCCCAGACTTGCGCTCGAGTGGGTACAATGAAGGAGGCACCGAGAGGATGTCAGAACACCAATTTTGAGGTATCCAACCGACCTGTGTTTACAGCATGGCTGCCCTCAACTGTTAAGATATGGGCCGGGAAGGTCATATAGACACACGTGGGTGTATATACACACACACATACACACACATGCACCCGCAGAGAAAGATAAATCTGTACATTTGTTCGGCACAGCCCTAGAGGCAAAGGAGGATGCGCATCGAAGCTCCCATGTTTGGATGAATGACTTGCCATCTCCTGTCAGAGTTGTGCCGTTACCAGGGCGCTAGACCCTACTGGGACCCGGTAGACAGGCGCCTGGCCTTCCGTTGTGAAAGAGGGCAGACCGACACCGATACGGATACCACCGTCGGGAGGCAGGGCAGTACCGGGTCTGCAGGAAGTCACAGTCACCAGACAAACGTCCATACACAACACAGACGTGAACATAGCCACATGTCGAAAGACACATTTGCGGATGTTTGTCCATTCAGTCTTCCCTAATTCACTCATTCATTCGTTCCACTGGGCGCATGTCTACAACACCCGTGAGACAGACGGATGAATGTGGTAGAGAAAACATGACGGCATAGGCAGACAGAAACGCAGGCCGGTGGCCACGACTGATGATGAGACGGGAGCTAGGCGGCTTTTAGCCGAGCTGACAAGCTCTTCTTCAAGGCATAACTTCACGACAATCATTTCAGCTCCGCCCCAAACTCGGCTCGCTCGGCCAGCAGAAGACGATCTCCACGTGTCTACTACACCGCCTTCACGGGCCCTACAGACACCCGACCCGACCCGACCCGACCCGACCCGCTCGCCGGGGCAATTAAGCCCTTTTGCCCGCTTCTCGGTTGCCATGACGCTGCCTCGGTTGTTGACTGGATGTCTCATCTGCCACTTACTGCTCGGCAGTCTGCTCCTGGCGTCGTCGGGAGAAGAGTTGGTCCGAGTTGACGATGAGGACTGGGACTGGCTGCGCTATCGTCCCCTCGGACGGATTCGCCGAGCCACAGACGACGCGATGTCCGCGATCCGAAGCAGTCGCAATCTGACGAATGTCCGCATCCACGGACCCTCCGAGGAGGAGGCCATTTCGCTGGCGATCGTCTTCGACTCCACCGGATCTATGGGCAACGATCTTAAGCAAGTGAAGGCCGGCTCGCGGCGTATTCTCGAGCGCCATCTACAACGTGGCGACGCCAACTACATCAAAGACTTTGTGCTCATCAAAGTCCACGATCCAGGTAGGCGATCGGCCAATCACTCGTCGTGGTAGACGTCACTATTGCCACTTTAACGTGAAAGCGCAAAGGCTTTAGGGCATGTTTACTCAGCATTAGCCCTCCTTCACAGTCTGTAGGACCTTGAAGCGACACAAAGTTTCAGGCTGCTCGAGGGATCTGCGAAAAGACCTTCAAAAATGTCTGGTAGTCAGGGCCGCTCTGAAAGGATGTGTCCAGATCACGGGTGCTCCGGCATTCCAGCTGCGCAAACAGTGTTTGTGTATTGTTGAGCTCATTTCCATGTCGACTGAAAGTGTTTGGTGAAGAGATCAGAGGGTCGATTCCACCAGAAGATGACAGCTTATTCCTCTTGACCATCTGTCGATTGGCTTTACTGGAACATTCATGGTGACGCTGTTTCCGAGCTGATTTCCTTCGATTCCGGTGAAAAGGTGCTAAGCTTTCGTCCGTCATAGGACGAACATAATCCGAGAAAGGTATCATCTTCACAACCAAATTCGAGCTAGCGAGTCAATAATATATATAGTCACATACATATACAGATACAGACACAATCACATGTTTGGAGGTTGGTATATGAATGGAACTAACCAAATCACTTTATCACTCATCAAAGAGATCAGATATAGATTAAGTATTCAGCTTCTTAGGGATAAACCGGTGAATTTTATTGACTCTTTAGTTTGAATTCGGTTGTGAAGACGATACCTTGCTCTGATGATGTTTGTGATATGACCGACGAAAGCTTGCTACCTTTTGACCGAAATCAAAGGAGATTACTTCGGAAACAGCGTCACCATGAATGTTCCAGTAAAGACAATCGACAGATTGTCAAGAGGAATCCACCGTCGTCTTTTGGGGAATCGACCTTTGGATCTCTTCACCAAACACTTTCACTCGAAATGGAAGTAAGCTCAACAATTAGAAAGCAAGAAATTCCTCAAAACCTAACTTTTCTTCGCATATACAGGGCTTTTTTAGGCAAACATGTGCTAAAAGAGACTCCGCACGAAAAAGTGATCATTTTCAATATATTTCGTTTTTAAGCAAAAGCGCATAAATCTGAGGACAGTTAAGCCAACATGGTAACGATCAAGGCGGTGAAGGGAATAGGAAAAAATAAAAC